TTAAAATTTAATATATATAATCTATATAAATAAAATTTTTAACCTATCTTAGTTTTTAAAAATATTAATGAGAAAAAGATGAAACTTTTAATATGTTTCTTTAAATCCATTCTTATTTACTAAAAATAAAATTTTTTTTCACGTTTTTATCTTTTTCGGTTAAGACTACTTATGATTAAAAGTGTAAGTGTTAAAATTATAAAATTATCATTAATAAATAATCTCAGATCAAAATTTTTGGTTAAATCTTTAATTTGGTCCCTCCTTAATTTAGTATTTAAACTATTGTATGGACTCTCGATTTGGTCCTACTGTTTATCAATTTACCCAAGTTGGTTCTTCTATATGTCTTATTATTAATGTGACATGTAACTGTTAAATTACTATTTTTCACCATTAAGTAATGGACATGTCAACTTTTTTTGTACAGAATGAAAACTTAGGGCAAATTGGTAAACAATTGGGACCAAATTGGGGTATGTATAATAGTTTAGGATCAGGGATTTTTTTGGTTAAATGCTAAATTTGGTCCCTCAACTTTAGTGAGTTGCATATTTTTGGTCCTTCAACAATTTTTTGCACTTTTTTGACCCCTCAACTATACGAAATGCACTCTGTTAGTCCTTTTGTTAATTTGGGCTGTTAACTCTGCTTATGTGGCATTTTTTATATATTTTTTGATGATGTGGAGAGCAAAAATTAAAAAAGTGATGATATGTACAAAAACTTTTGCCATGTCATGCTACCGTGGCTAAAACGCGTCAAATCTGTCCAAATGAGTCCCACATCACCATTAAGAATTGCTTCTTTGGCCGTTGATTTCTGCTTTTGTTCTTTCCATCGACGATGTTCTTTTCATTTTTAAGATTGAAATCGTTTAGACAATACTTAAAAAATATAAAGAAAAAAATATCAAAAATCACTCACAACAACTTGCAATTTGGATAATCTCTTAATAAATAAACATATAACAAAAAAAAAAAAGTAGAGCTGGGTTCGCCGGAACCCAGCAAATAGATTCCATCGAATCCAACTTGATTCACTGAAACCCAGTTGTCCAAAAATCTCTCGCAACAACCTGCAGTTTGGATAATCTCTTGGCAAATAATCATATAACAAAAAATAATAATAATCATATAACAAAAATCACTCACAACAACCTACAATTTGGATAATTTGCAAACAACCATATAAACAAAGAAAAAAAAAAGTGGAGTTGGGTTCGATGGAACCCATTTGCTGGGTTCCGTCGAACCTAGCAACTGGGTTCGGTGAAACCCAATGGCTGGATTCCGTTCGAAGACCTGAGGAAGAAGAGGAAGAAAGAAAAAGAAAAAAAGAAAGGAAGAAGATGGATAGAATTATTTTATTTTATTTTTTAAAAATATAAATAGTAATAATGTGAGTTGGCATGAGCTGTAATTAAAAAAAATTTTACATCGACATGTTTTTAATTTGTTTTTACCATGTCATCAAAAAAACTATAAAAAATGCCACATAAGCGAGTTAACGGCTCAAATTAACATAAGGACTAACATAGTGCATTTCGTATAGTTGAGGGATCAAAAAAGTGCAAAATTTTGTTGATGGATCAAAAATGTGCATTTCGTAAAGTTAAGGGACCAAATTTAGCATTTAACCGATTTTTTTAGTTTAAGGACCAAATGAGAAGTTCATACAATAGTTCAGGTACCAGTTTGGGGGTTTAACCAATAATTTTTCGCTAAAGATATTTTAAAATAATATAACGTTAATATATGGAACAACACCATTGGATTGGCTGAGGTTCATTTCCATTGCTCCAAATTACGCTCGAGCTCTCGAGATTGCTGGCTCGAGCTGATGAAATTACTCTTTCATCCTATAAATCCGTCACCAAATGCTATGTTTCCTCTTTGCTCATGAGCTTCTCCACAAGGGAAGATTTGGGTACACTTGTGTTCGCCAGTACTGGTGAGTGTGAGTCCATTTTTTCATCTTGTAAGAGATTCTGGTGTTTGATCATGACTTGAATACATCCATACATGCTTGGTTGTTCTAATCATTTTTGTGGGTCACTTCTCTTGCTTTTAATTTTATTGGGGGTTATGACTTCCACTCTCTGTGTTTGTTTTTTTGGTTGAATCTCTATTTCTATGACCAGATCTGCTGTTCCATTTCTCCGATCCGATTTCGCCACTCTGAATCTCCGTCTGCTAGGGTTTTCCCTCTGAGAGCCGATGAGACGTTTTGCTCTGCCTGCTCTGCTTCTTTTTCTAACTTTGGCGTTGCTGCAGGACCTCTGCTTCGCCCAAGTCAACGGCACGGTAATGTTTTTTATCTGAATGGCTAGCTCGGTATTGAATATTTATCTCTGGAAGTGAATCTTAGGGTTCCTGTTTTTGTTCTGTGTAGTTCTTACGCGAGACCTTCAACGAGACGTTTGAGGGGCGAAGCGTCGTCTTTGAGAAAGAGGACTACCGAGGTGAGAGTTTCACTGTTTATATTTTTGGATCTTGGACTGACGTTAACTCGTTGTTGAAGTTTTGTTATAAATTTAAAGCTTACTTTTCAGTAGTTTAGTTACTGAAAATGTTTTAATTTGGTTTATCTCTTTTTTTAAGTTTGCTTATTAAGACTCAAACATAAATGTAATAAATAAGTTGAATCAAAACCCCTAATGTTAAAGTATGCAACCGTGTTTAAACGGAGGATTGTGAGGTGCGCGTATGCTCTTCCTCACTCCTAACTGAACCCCCGAACCCCAATCTTTGCGCAGACCTTTTTTCTTATATATTTCACACTTGATTTTTCAATTTATTTTGAAAAAAATCTCAAGTGGTCGTCAACAGGAGCAAACCAACAGTTTGTCGAGGTTGGCAATATTTTGCTGCATTATCTTTTAATAATGTTGACACTATTCCATGTCTGAAATTTCTGTTTTAACTTTTTATTAACCTGCAGGACATTCAAAAGATTCTGAAAAACTCTTCAAAGGTATGGCAATCTTGCTGCTTTATCTTTTGATGATGTTGTAATTACGTATATACCATGGAATTAGTGTTTTAACAATTTTAATTATTAACTTGCAGAACTGTGGGCAACTTTGGAGGAGGTATATATAGATGTTATGTTGCATTTCTAATTATAGAACAGCTACTGTTTTAACGTTTTCTTAACCTGCAGAACCTTGAAAGTGAAATGATTCGAACAGTGGGACCAGAGGGTTTCACTGCTGCAAATTCAAGTAGCTTGAGAGGTATGGTGAATTCACCAAAATCCTGGGGCTACAACTTTGCTGCCGTAATTTTTGAGGGCTAACTCTTTTGGTTTGAATGTGACAGCAATGGGAAATCATATTTGAGCGAGTGAGGGGGTTAAAGAGAAAAGAGAGGAAGAACTTGATAGAGCCCATCGGGGCAAGAGGCCTGCAACTGCTTACGCTACTCCAAGTCATCCCCAATTGATGGGCTTATGAACCATGGTCAGTCAGTGGCTGCACTAGCTACTCAAGGACCTCTGTTGTCAACCGACAAAGGTACACAAATACAAATGAGGGGGGCTACTCATGATAGGGAGGCCTCCACCTCATCATGATCTTGGACTAGGGAGCAAGCAAGAAGTTAGCATGTGCGATTTTGTGAAGGTATGTAGTCAGTAAACTGAAGCCCCTCTCCTCTTGGATCTCTACACTTTCCAACTTCTCTTTTACATTGAATTATTTCTTTTCTCTTTAATTGATTATTTTCCAACTTCATTAGCAATATGTGAAGCTCAAAGATGCTAAAAGAAGATAGCAGGAAGCTGCAGCTGCTTGTATTCATGCTAACCGCAAACTCAAGGAAAAGATGAAAGAAGTTCACAACTTGAACAAACAAGTGAAGGGGGAGGAGGAGGTGTATAACAAACTCCAGGCTGAACTGGCAGAGAAGAATAAGATTTCCAAGGATGCGCGTGAGTTAGAGACGATCGAATTCCAACCAAGGGTCACAGCATTGATCGTCTCTAACTCACGCGCATCCTTGGAAATCTTATTCTTCTCTGCCAATTCAGCCTGGAGCTTGTTATACACCTCCTCCTCCCCCTTCACTTTTTTGTTCAAGTTGTGAACTTCTTTCATCTTTTCCTTGAGTTTGCGGTTAGCATGAATACAAGCAGCTGCAGCTTCCTGCTGTCTTCTTTTAGCATCTTTGAGCTTCACATATTGCTAATGAAGTTGGAAAATAATCAATTAAAGAGAAAAGAAA